TCCCACCAAGGTAGCTCAATTGAGGAATGATATAACAATGTTCTAGCAATTTGATGGAGAAACACTATATGAAAGCTGGGACAGATTCAAGGAATTGCTATGGAGATGCCTTAATCATGGCATACCCGAATGGATCCAGATGGAAACCTTCTACAATGGGCTGAATGGACAAAACAGAGATATAGTAGATGCATCATCTGGAGGAGCCCTCTTGGACAAGACTTACATTGAAGCATATGATATCCAAGAAAGGATGGCATACAATAATGACCCATGGCCAACAGAGAGGTCAATTGCACAGAATGAAGTTGCAGGATTACTAGAGCTTGATGCTATATCTTCATTAGCATCACATACATCCTCTCTGAATAATAGTATAGAGACTTTCAATCTTACTGCTAATGCTAGAGCACAACAAGCACATTCAATTTATAATGTTGTATCTTGTGTTTTCTGTAATGGCCCATATGTTTATGATGATTGTCCCCAAAATCCTCAATCTGCTTGTTTTGTAGGAAATTATAACATGAATGATCCATATTCAAACACCTACAACCCAGATTGGTAGAATCATCCAAATTTTTCCTATTTTGAAGGGAAACAGCAAGGGTCAGCGTATGCTACAGCACTGCAAGATCACAGACCACCATTCCAGCAACAGCAACAGCATTACCAGCAGCCTGAACAACAAGCTGACAACTCTGATGCACTGGAGAGTATGCTGAAGGACTTTATGGCAAGAAATGATGTTCTTATCCAAGACCAAACTGCATCAATCAAGAACTTGGAGACTCAAATGGGTCAGTTGGTAGAATCTGTGAGAGATATATCATATGAAACACTGCCCAACAATATTGAAGATCCAAGAAGCATTGGATATGAGCAAATCAAAGCTGTAGCATTAAAGAATGAGAAGGCAGTAGATAGACCATAGGCCATAGAGAACTACCACAATCTGAAAGAGGAAGCTGAAATTAAGAAGGAAGGAGACAAAGTTGCTGTGGAAGATGAATTAAAAGAATAACCTATTGCACCTGAAGTTGCTAACACAGAAAAGAATGCTACAGCGAAGCAACAACACTGTCAGCAAGTTAACAGGACAATTAGACCACCATCTCCCTTCCCTCAAAGACTTCAGAAGCAACAAGATGATGTGCCAGAGAATAGTACCTTATGTGATATTGAGGCTAATGCGAATTTGATGCCCATGAATCTACTAGAAAAGATGGGAATAAAGAGCATAAGGTCTACAAAGATGACTTTGCAAGTGCCTATAGTCAAGTCATGAAAATATCAGTTGATGTTGTTGAAAATGTGATGATTGGCAACTCTGCACAACCATTAGATTTTTCAATCCTTGACATAAAGAAGGACCCAGTTGTTTCTCAATATCTTGAAGAGTCATGCCTTGATACCCCAAAGGTTATGAAAGATATGTGGAAGAGTGAGCTGATTCTTGAAATAAAAGGACACCAAGATAAAGGTAATCCCAAGGTCAAGATGAAGGAGGAGTCTATATGCGAGAAGAATTTAACCAAGGATTCAAAGTTGTTCTTCTTCCTTTATTTTAAGCCACCTTGATCTTCAATCAAAGTCAGGCTGAAGACTATAAAACAAGCGCTTTTGGGAGGCAGCCCAAATCAATTAGGAAATTTCTATACTTTTCTTTAGTTTTATTGCATTTAAATTTCTGAATTTCAATTTTTAGATTAGGATAAATTAGCAAACAAATTCTACACTCATTATTTTTGTTGATGCAGGTGCAATTTATGGGCAATTAAGGTTTCACTGCTACAACATTGCTACATCATAGTTGTGGCAGAAGGAATAAGGTGCTAAAGGGAAGAAAGTCAAGTTTAATTCTTGAATGAAATCCTGAAAGAACTCAGCAAAAAGCTGAGTTTAGAGTCCCCCAAGGCATTTTAGCAAGAACCTCGTTCAAAAAATTGAGATTGGAGTCCCAACAACAAAGGGACTCCACCATTCTGAAAATTCAATGATAACTCAGGTCGTCTTGTTCTTTTCTTGTCTATATCTCTTTGGACCTATTGGAAAAATATTAGTAAGGAATTTATATGTTACGTAGGTTTAATTTTTTGTTTAATTTTAATTAGGTTTTAGTTTTTTTCTATTGCAAATAAAAGAAGTTAGGCAAAACATGAAAAGAAAATAAGGGACTTAAGAAGCAAACTCAGTACTGATGCTGAGTTAAGAATGAGAAGAAAACTCAGTACTGATGCTGAGTAAAGAATGTTAAGAACTGAAAGACTTGGCATAATATTGATGAAGTATTGTTGTATCTCTATCTATTCTGTTATGATCTACATTGTTACAGGATTGCTACAGCATTTGTGTAAGAGTGAAAGTTAGTGATCTTAAGCCAAGGTCTAAATGGATACCAAAGTAGGACTTGAAGGCAAAAACCAATTAAGGTGAAAGGCCAATGGAGGGATCATCTAAGCACAAGGAACCGCTTGTAGGCAAGAGAAACCAAGGAGTGAATTGCGGAAGAAGGCTTAGGACTCAGAAATTTGTTGGGTTTGAATCCTATCACATGAGACAAGTTTGAAGGCTATAAGGGTGAAAGAAGCCAAGCAACAAAGTGCAATTGCACAAGGTGTTCTTCCTCAAAAAAACGGGAATCAAAAGAAAAGTAAAAAGAAAAAGAAAAGAGGTGAAAACCCCAAAAAATAGAATAAGTGCAAAAGCACAAGACAAAAGAGGAAGGCAAAGCTAAAAATGAAAGATGCAAGGTGGACACTCGTTCCTTCAAGTCTTGTACACATGGGTGTGGATTCAGGTCTGGCAAAGTATGAGTCAAGCAACTAGGCCTTAGGACTCTTAGTTTGAAGCTTCAAGGTGGATCAACCCAAGACGGAAGTTTCTAGCACACACACACACACACACACACACACACACTGATCTGTCCAAAAGCTATGAAGCCTTGAGAAGATGAAGCCAACAAGGAATACTGAAGTTGAGTAAGGATGATGGTTGAAGATCAACAATCACATGCAACTGTGCTGTAGCAATGTTGCTGCACTATGGAGAATCTCAACAATAGTCTCTGATACAGAAGTTACTGATTTGATGTTAGTTAAGCCTGAGAAGTTTTTTGTTGCTTGAGGACGAGCAACATTTTGAGTTTGGAGTGTGATAACTCTCTGATGGAGAGTTAATTTTAGGCTTATATATATGATGTTTTGGTACCATAAATATGCATAATTCTCTTGATTTTACATGATTATTGCATGAATTTTATATTTTCATGATTTAAATGAGAAATATGTTAAGTGTTGATATTTGAAGATAATTTGAGTGTAAGAATCATTTATTTCATTTTCTATTTTATTGCAGGTCAGTGCTGTAGCATTGGAAAGCAGTGTTGTAGAATCAAAGATGAGTTTAGCAGCATGTCTAGTTGACATCATCACCAGCAAGCTATGGACCCAAGCCCAAATTAATTGAGGGAAGCTTCTGAGCACGAAAATAGATATTCTGATTTGAATAATCACTAAAAGATCTTCAAGAATCCTAATCAAATATCCCACAAATCAGCGCGCACAAATCCAAAGCAAATCTGAAGTATATTTGGAAAGATTTGGAGAAGATATGTAGCAGCATTATGTGCTGTCCTTGATCAGCACTGCAGCAAATAAGGAAAGAATCTCCAATCAGTGCTGCAGCAAACAGAGCTGTATCTTCAATCATAGCTGCAGCAAATAAGGAAAGAATCTCCAATCAGCGCTGTAGCAAAACAGAGTTGTATCTCCAATCATATCTGCAGCAAATAAGGAAAGAATCTTCAATGCTGCAGCAAAACAGAGATGTAACTTCAATCATATCTGCAGTAAATAAGGAAAGAATCTTCAATGCTGCAGCAAGATAGAGCTGTATCTTCAATCATTGCTGCAGCAAATAGAGAAGATTTGAACATGATTTGTAATGGATTTAAAGAGCTAATTGGAGCCTAATTCATCAATGTCTATAAAAAGAAGAAGCCTACACACATCAAACAGGTTGGAGAGTCTCTCTTTGAGGCTGGATAGCCCCTCGTTTAGAAAGAGAAAGTGAGGGAAACACTTAAAGGGAATTTGAGGGTTCGTTGAGAGAGATCCAACGAATCAAAGGAAGGGGCTAGGGTTCAATAGAGAGATCATTGAACCTAGTGACTTTCTGCACTATTCCGGCGGCGGCAAGGTTGATGGTGGTGTAGCTCATGGTTGCTGCGAGAGCAGTGCTACAGCAACGTCCCTGCTTTCTTTACTTTAGCTTTGTGGAATCATTTTCTTTCTTTGTTACTTCTTTCCACCCAAGTATGATCTAAATTGTTAGGATTGGGTGATAGAGTACCCTTATTGTGATGTAAACAGTATTGCCTAAACTTTGTTGCATAATTTTCCTTTCAGTTGCTTAATAAAGTGTTAATTTATCTTTAATCTTGTTAATTCATCGAGAGAGGGTTGCAAGGTACTTAGGATTTAGGCTACAGAGATATAGGTGAATCCTGAATATTATTAAGCATTGTGGTTTAACTAAGTAAAATTAGTTAATTGTGGGTAGAGAGATCACTTGCACCACAAAATCATATGGAACTTGAACTTAATGAATTCATAATTGTGTTTGCCATAGAGATGTGGGACTTAGTATACATATATTGTTGGTGAGAGCCCTTGCATGCATTAGTGTTCTGATTACTGAATGGATGATTGTTGTAGCATGGTTACTGTATTCTGGTGAATTGCAATAATGGGGAAATTGATCCCAATCTATCTTTAAACACTTGGAAAACTTATATTGCTACTGCATTCTCTTAGTTAATCATTAATCTTAGTTTATTTTATTTCTTAATTGTTAAATTAGACATTAGCCAATTACAAATCATTATTGTTACCTTAATTTCTTCACATTGATCCTAATTTTATAATTTTCTTCGTGGGAACGATATCTGGACTCACACATCCACTTTATTACTTGTTGACACGTGCACTTGCGTAATGTGTGATTGATAAAAGGGGTACACAATTGCACAACATATGCCTCCTTTAGAATTTAATGCTTAGAATGATAAGTGATGGAGATTGAATAAATAAAATCTATGGTGATAAAGTTTGATAACTTGGTGAAATTTATGATGGGAGTGGTGGTTGGAGTCATAAGTATGGTTGGTGGAAATCATGTGTGGGTGTTAGGGGCATTAAATAATGGAATTGGATGAGGAGTAAAACATGATAGAACAATTGGAAAATCCTTTAGTTTGTGACAAGGTGCCTATCGGCCATATGGACATATTTTGATGGAAATTGGGTTGGAATGTGAGAGTTGTTGTGTATTGTGAGATTATTGTAACTTATTGATCAAGTTGTTGATGATCATTGTTTGCATGATCATTATAGGTTGGCTCACTTTGATCCTATAGAAGAGGATTGAATCTTGGAACTTTGCTTTAAGGATCTTATTGGTACTTGACCACAAAGGATTAGGGTAAACTCTGTGTTCTGAGGTTAATCCCCTTGTTTGCTTTACCATGTCCATTGGGAATGATTGGAAATTGTGTTTCTGTGATGATGTTTAATGAGGTATGCTCATGCATTTGAATATGTTGCGTGTAATATGTATGTTGTTGTGAGCCTGATTGCCCGTAGGCCTTATTGTCTATTTCTCTGGCCAGTAGAAATATTTGTTGGGAACTTCCACCGGATAGGTCTACATGAGGGAGTTTTGGTTGGCACTGTGTCTTAGAGTTGTGAATGCTTTAGGAGGGTCCTGGGAGTTGTATGATGGGGGTCCTTGAATGGAATCCACGATTGATGTTCTTGGATTTGTGCCCAGTTGTCTATTTGATTGCATGATATACTGTGTGGATATTATCCATGTTGCTCAATTGAGTAACCATTTGGTAGAGTGACCCTTCAGGACCCTTAGTTTACTGAGATATATATGTATATCTCACCCCACGTTTCGAGCCACTATTTCAAGTACTATTGATCATTTTGGAGCATTGGGCAAAAAGCCTACTTAGAGGCTATATTGAAGACATATTGTGCATATAGATTGTATAGCATTTTGGAGAGACTTCATATGATGCAAATAATAGCACTTATTTTGTATAGTTGACTTAGGATATGAACAATTGTTGCATGAGATTGTATTTGCCATGCTTGGTTTGTTCATATGTTGATCTAAGTCACCTGACTCTGGACTGTATTTTGGTACAAGAACTTGTATATGTCCCATATTGGCATTTTGAGTATTGGTGAGAATGGGGAATATCCATGTCACTTTGGC